CATCCCCATCCCCGCCCGCACTCCCGCTGCTCCCTCCCTCTGCGCGTCCCTCCGCTGCCCCCTGGAGGCCGTCGCCACTGCCTGCGCCCTCCGCGAGAACTGACCCTCGGCGGCCGCCGTCGTTGCCTCGGCGACGCCGCCGCGTCCGGTTCCCATAGCAACGCGCAGGGCCGCCGCGGGGGTGGGCGCAGGAGGCGGGACCGGGCCGGGCCGGGCCGGGCCGGGCCGGACCGGGTCGGGCCGGGCCGGGCTATAGGGGTGGGTTGGGGCTACGTGGCCCGGCTGGGCTGTGCTCTGGGGACGCGTTACAGGGGTCCCGGCGGCCCGGGTCTGGCTGCTATAGGGGGCGGCGAGTCTATAGGGTCCTGCAAGGCTATAGGGGCCTGCAGGGCTATAGGGGTGGTGAGGCCTGCAGGATTATAGAGGGAAGCAAGGCTATAGAGGGCAGGGCAGCAGGGGGCGGCAGGGCTATAGCGGCTGTGAGGCTATAGGGCCTGCAGGATTATAGGGGGGAACAGGGCTATAGGGGGTGGCGGGGCTATAGGGGCAGTCTGTACTGCGGGGAGCTGGGCAGGGCGTTACTGCAGGGCCCAGGGCTGTGCCACAGGCTCCCCGTGGGGCTGCAAGGGTCCAGGGAAGCTGTAGGGGACGAGGCAGAGCCTTGCTATAGGAGACCAGCTGGGCAGGGCTGCGCTATAAAGGGTCAGGGTGCCCCCTGGCCCAGGGCTGTGCCGGGCTGGGGTGACCAGGGCTGGCCTCGGTGGGCACAGTGGGGACGTGGCTGGGGACCCAGCACACGGCTGTGCCCGCAGGCGGCTGTGCCGCCCTGAGCCGYGGCGAGGGGCTGGAGCGGGGCCGGAGGCGCTGCCGGCGTCCGGGGGAGCAGCTGAGCAAGGGTGCTCCTGCCTCCTGTTTTCCAGATGCTTGTCCAGCCGCGTGGGGAGCRCCAGAGCTCGGGCTCCTTCCAGAAGCTCTGCTGTGGCCGCACCAGGAAGGTGAGTGGCAGAGCAACGGTGCCATGGTCGTAGCTGGGGTTACTGGCAGAGCACGAGTTGGGGTGGAATTTAGAAAAATATCCCACTGCTGCTTCCTTAATTCATGGTGTCCCTCAGCATGTATAGGGTTTGGTGCCGACGAGGTGTGCCCCGAACGTGCATCAACCAGGGCATCTAGAGTTTGTCAGGGCTCTCCTTGACTCCTGGCACTTTGCCACACGGTGGCCCCTTCTGTTCTCTGCCAGAGCCTTTTGGAATAGAAAAACAAGTGAGTGATTTCTCCTTCCTCCTTCAGAAACTGCTAGGGTCCCCTCAGCAACTTCCAAAGCAATCTGGAAGAAAGGCCAAGGAGAAAAAGGCCGTGTTTTGGGGCATTGAGGTGGCAGAAACACTCAGCTGGCATGGCTGGGAGCTTGGAAAAGAGATGATCAAACATCTAATCCTGAAAAACGTTCATGTGAAAACACAGAAGCTGAGTTACAGGTGTGTGGAAAGTTTCCTTCTCCTTTATGTTCCATGCTCTCTCATTACATCCTTATCCCTCCTGCTGTACCAGTCACCTTAACACACTGCCTTGGCCCRGTCTACCAGTTCCCCCCGTTGGGCTCCTGGCTGGAGACAGTGAGCACACACATGCATCGAAACCTGCTAAATCAGTCACACAGCCCTTGTTCCTGGCAGGAGTTTCTTAAAATGCCTTTTTAAAAATCTGTTTTGCTGATACTTCTGTCTGTGAGCCATTTCCAGTCTAGTGCGATTTCAGTTGTGGACGTTTGCCAGCCAGTCGCTCATGTGTCCCGAACCCGCTGCTCGCAGGAGTCCCTCTGGATGCTGCAATCCCTGTGACACTCTGTGCTCTGAGGCTCCARTGCTACTGTGCTTAATAAGTGCTTGGATCATGTGGCATGATCTGGGAATGCAGAATATGGTTCAAAAAAGGAATACGTATTTAGGGTTGGAAATGGGTTCCAGCACATCTGAGTTCTCGTTCCCTGGGATTTGCAGGGCAAATCCAGCAGCTGAGCAAACCAGCAGGCCTGTAAATTGTTTCTAATCACGAAGGCCTGGTGTTTGGGATTCTCCTTGGCATTCTCTTTTCTGATTTCTAATATAAGAACAGCTTTAAGCTGTCAGATAATTTCTCTTTTTTTTTTCGTTCTAGATGTCCTTCCACACGAGTCTTCGTCACTGTTTTTCCACAGCCGATTGTTTTGAGCCCGGGTATGTCCTTAACTCTGCCCGTCATTTTCCGTCCCACTGAAAAGGTAAGGCAGCTACATCAGAATTGCTGTCTGTGCTCAGGCTGGCCTCCAGGAGGGGGATTGGYCTCTGTTTCCCTCATCATTTGTGTTCTCTTTTCACTTGAATGAATCTGTCTTTAGTGTGGAAACACTGGAGAGTGACAGCCTCTGCTTGTGCTCTGAACGGAGACCCAGTGTGGCCTTCCTGCTTTCTCTGCACCTCCAACAGCTGAGGGAGCCACAATCCCTGGTTTCTCTGCAGAGTTTGTCAGTAATTGAGAGGGATCTTCAGAAAAAGCACTGTTATTTTTTTCCATTTTTGTTTTGTTTCCCCCTGTGCTCCACGTACACACATGTGTTGCTTCTGGCTGAGAATACAGGACTTGAATTGCCTACCCCAACTTTGTTTTTCTGAAGCCTGTACTGAGTGGTTTTATTACTGAACTGTTGAGGAATTTGCTTTCTGCTTTGTCACAGGACTGCCCAAAGCCACTTGCCTTGGGGTATATTCAGCAACTACTGATTTTTCTATGAGGGAGTATGTTAAGGGCCTCCCTTTTCTTGAGTGGAGTGGTTTCCCTTTGAGCTTCATTTTTGACAGCAACAGGTCTTGTTATCAGCCTTTTCCCTTGGTTTTTCATCTCACTTCTGGTGTCTGTTTTGACTTTGAGTCTTGATCTCTGGCTCTTTGCCACACCTGCCTGTCTCAATGTCCTGGATGTAGGATGTCATGACTAGGTAAATTCCCTGTGTCCTGGTCTCTTATTATTACCATTTGCTGATGACTGTTCAGTGTTCCCTTTATGAAATAAGCTGATGACCTTGTTGTGTTTTTAGTGGAGAGTTTGAGTTTGTCTGTGCTCCATCCTCACTAGAGCAGGATTCTCCCTGTGGTCGAGAGAGCAGGGACTGTGTGTGCTGCAGTGCCCACGGTCCTTCCATAGCTGTGTAAGGGGTACTCAGCAAGAGTGAGGATGAGGGAGCTCAGAACATGCAGATCTTGCAATTCCTTCTGCCTTAGCAAGTTAGCAGGAGTTCTGGAGCTATCTGTGTGTGGTGGTATCAACACTCCACCTTTAAGTGGTTTGTTATCCCCTTTAAGTGCTTCACCAGCGAGACACTTAATTGAAGACTAATTTTTCTGTGCTTGTGGAGATGCAGAGAAGTGTGCATTGTTTTAGCTAAGCTCAATCTGAACCTTGAAAGGATTGAAAAATGTCCCTCTGCATCAAAACAAGCAAGATTAAACAACTGTACTCTCAGACTGTGCTCTCTGAGGGTGCTTGTGTGTTCCCTGAGAGGAATGCAGCGAGGAGTATGCCTGAGCACCTTACTCGCTGCCTCTTCCATGCTCTGTCCTGCACAGCTGCCTTCCCCRATGCCTCCATCACACATGTTTTGTTCCCACCACTTGCCCAGAAGCAAGGTTCGAGTGGTGGGGCTCATGGGAGGAGCTGCAGCCCCTCAAAGAGGGGAGCCCATCTAACTGCCGTCTCCTCTTGCTTTTCTGTGCAGAGGGAGTATGAAGACAGCATCCGTTTCGAGAAGGCTGAGGGTGAGTTCTCTGTTACTCTGCGTGCCACGCTGCCCCGCCACTGCCTGTTGTTCCCAGCTGCTCTCCACCTGCCCCTCTGTGCTGTCTACAACGTCACGGAGGCAACGTTCCCCCTGCGCAACACGGGGTGAGTGGGACTTGGCTGAGCAGCCCCTCTTTCTGTTTTGTCAGGTGTTTGGCCTCCTCCTTGGGCCCTCCGTTTGATACAGCTCATTTCAGTTGTTGTTAGCTTTTGCCTTGATCTGAGGCTAATATCATCCTTCAGGAAATATCCCCTCTCCACACCCGTCTGTTAAGACATCCAGGGAAGACTCAGAGGGGTGTCCAGTTTTGTCAAGATGAACCAGGCTGTTGCTGCATTCCTGTCTGCTGAAGCAGACTGCCTGTCTCTGGGAGGTGACAGTGGGAAACAGCCTTTCAAATCAAAGTTGCTTAGTAATAGGCCCTCTGCTGAGTTCTGTCTGCATTGAAAGAATTCTCAGGGAGCACATAAAGGAACTGGAAAAGCTGTTGTAGAATAAATTTCACTAGAATTGGAGCTTTTCCTGATCTGATTGACAGTCACTTATTATTGTAATTCAGCATCTTGTTGCCTTCAGAACCAACATCCTTCCTTGAAACAGCTACAGTGCTCACTATGTAACTGGGAACAGTTTGGGATTACATCTTTCTGTGCTCAGCTAGCTGCCTTAAGAGCTGGTCCCTGCTCCTTCAGAGCTCACAGGGATAAGAGGTAGAAAAACAGATTGAATTGACCAAAGACACCTGTCAGATCTCATTGTGGTCACATTTGTCTGTTGAAAGCATTGAGGAAATGTCCCTTCTACATATGATTACACAGATAGTTAAGAATCCATTTGTCTGCTTAAAATGTGTCTCCATTTTCTAGTGATCTTGCCACTGTGTTTGCCTGGAGGACACCAAGCCCTTTCCACATGATTCCTGACTGTGGCTTGCTGACCCCAGGGGCTGAGTGCATGGTAAAGGTGGTCTTCCAGCCCAAGGTAGCTGTGTTGTATAATGTGGAAGCAACGTGCTGGTTTGGAGATGAAGAGAAGCAGAAGAGGAGTATTCAGCTAAGAGCCCTGTGTGAGACATTTTTGCATTTAGCCCTCAAATATGTATCATCCAGAACGGGGGAGTTTCATTCCCCAGAATTACATCAAGGCACTGTGCTCTGGGGCCATGCTGCAGCTTGCACAACCCACTGATGACTGCAAAGTGGCCTGTGAAATTCTCYAATATATTATTATCACTTTGGAAATAATGTTTTGAAGAGACAGCAGGGTTTGTGGCCTACTCTGGTCAGATTGGCACTTCTGTTCCCTAGTTAAGCTGACAGATAGGAAGAAATGAGATGAGTTCATTGGCACAATAGAAAAACCTCCAGAAACTGTTGGTCTTGTCTGCATTCTTTCTTCCTTCTGTCTCTGCCAGAGGGGGATTTGTAAAGCTTTCTGGATCCAAGTAGGCTGTGATCTAGAATAACCACAATAGTTTCATGTTCAASTCTTTGCCAGTTTTCTTTGTCTGTAAAGGGGCATAAAGAGCATTACCTGGCCACTGAGAAACAAAAGATGTTTCTCAAAGTATTAATATTTATGGTGGAGGGGAGCTTACCTGGTTCAAAACAAGGCCAGCTTTAAAGATAGATTCAACTTCAGAGTTAGCTAAGGTTGCTCAAAGGCTTTTCCAATTGAGTGTTAAATAACTGAGGATGGAGATTCCACCTCTCTCTCTTGACCTGGTAATACTATCCCTTCTAACAGCTARATACCCCTACCTGCGGGTGGATGTGCCAGGAGAACCCTGTGAAGACGGGCAGCCACGGCACTGTGGGGACGTGCTCTGCTTTGGCTCAGTGCCAGTGGGCACCACCGTGGAGAAGTGGGTAGAAATCTGCAACGTCTCTGTGGTATGTATAGGGGTAGGCTGCTGCTTGTGAGGGCTTGGCCTGCTAGCAGGGTTCCCTGTGCAAGGTTGTTTGCCCTTGCTGCCTGCCTTCTAGTTAAAATACTAACAAATATCTGTTTGCTGCAGCCCGGATTCTGTCCTTATGGTYGGAGCCTGCTGTTCGGCAGCTCGTCTGGATGGGATTGCTTTGGTTTGCACAGCCTTTCTGTGTTGGGCTGTAGCAGCCTCAGTCATCTTGGGGGTGTTTCCAGCTCTGCTAGAAATAGGGCAGGTCTTCACTGATCAGTGTGATTCAAATGGAGCTGCATTCAGAGCAGTGCCATTCTCGCTTCCCTTTGCTCTTCTGTTAATCTGTTTCTTTTCTACTTGCAGGTTGATGCCCCCTTTAGGATAGAAAGAGCAAAAGACCCTCTGCTTCAGGATCCTGTGTTCTCCTGTGGTATCTCCCAGGGTGTTGTCCCTGCCAAAGGGAAGCTGGTGCTGTACATACGGTTCCATCCACAGACAGTAGGCAAACACAGTACTGATTACTTCACTGTCCTGTCTGCTGGGTGCCACCTGCAGACTGTCCTGAAGGTGACTGGCTCCTGTAAAGGTATCAAACAATTACAACCTTCCTTTTTCTCTCTGTCCTCTTCTCAGCACTGTAGGAGAAGGGCTGAGGTCAAGGGAAGAACTAGAGACTGTCATAGCCCTTGGTCAGGGACTGAACTTCTGCTGATGTTTAGCTGTTACTGGGGTTTAACTCTTTCTCATAACAGACATGAGACTATTGGAATGAAGCCCAGCTGGTTCCTAGGGCTGATGGGTTTGCAGATGAGGTGCTTCTGGTTTGGGAGGCTCTGTTAAGTGCAGCAGTAGCTTGTGACATGTTGACAGAAACAGCTGTGACAGCTCTGTTTTACTTGTCATTGTGCTAGGCCCACTTGTGTCCATGCRCCGATATTCCGTGGACTTTGATTGGATCAATCTTGGGGAAAGTGCAATGCAGACACTGGAAATCAGCAACAACTCAGATGCCCCTGCCTATTATCAGTTTGATATTGATGGCAGAGGGAGTGTCTTCTCCATTGATCGTCCCTGTGGCATCTTGAAGGGCACAACGATGCTAGTGCTGAAGGTGACGTTTCGGCCTGCTCGCCCCATCAGCTATTATCGCAGAGTGCTGTGCCTTGTCCACCATCAGGTATGAGAGGCAAAGGGCAACATCACAAAGGAAAYTCTTTGTGGCACCTTGCATCTTAGGAGAAGAAGAAATGTTACTTCTTCAGTCCTAAATGATTCAGGTCCTGTGTCTCCTTAGAAACTAGAAGCCTTTAGGATGGAGGTTGATGCCTGGTGCCTGTGTGCTGCCTGGTGTGTGTATAGCTATGACTTTACCCCAGTCAGCTGCAGCAGATGCCAGTACCTTATTTCAAAAGCATCTTTAAACAAATGTCAGTTAGCAAACCCAACACTCAAGTTTCTGTGTAAAAGCTTAGAAACAAAATTTGTGCTAAAACACTTTGCACAGCATGCCAAACCTAGGCYCTGCTGGCACACCTCTTCCTGTAGCTATTTTATACTGTAGCTGCATGCTCTCTTAATTACAACCTTGCTCCTGGTTTAGGAGCTTGGCCTGCAGGACTCTCCCATCTCAGGTTCTCCAAATATTACCYACTATGGCTGATCGATATCTCTTAACAGGCCCCGAAAATACATAATATTTGTTTTCCTGTGACTCCTGTCCTGGGCTCTTGCTGAGCAGAGTCTCCATGGTGCAGGCTCCCAGGTTGAACAGTACAGTACAGATGTGGATAGACCATCAGYAATGCCTGCAGGGTGACAAGGCCCATCCTCAGCTGTTCCCTTCTTCTAGATCTCCGATTAAGTTAGCTGTGCACCAAGGTACTGAATGTGCTGAATGCCRAAGTTTCTGGGCCATATCAGCACATAAAATAAACAGCTGTCTAAGGTCACACAGCACTAAGCTGTTCTAAGGTGTGGCTTTGGGAATGAGATGCTAGGATGGTGTAATTAGCAAAGGAATCCCTGCAGRAGAGCTCATCTCTTACAAGGCTTTCTGGTGCTTTCCTAGGAACCTATATATGTGGACTTCTTTGGTACCTGCCATTCAGACATGGATAAGCCAGCCATCCTTCGAGCAAGACATCTCTCCTGGTACAAAACCAACATAGTSAGGGGACTGACCTTCTACCCCCCAGACATCCTGAGCATGATGCTGAAGGAAGGGAAGCTGCTGTTGGATGAAAAGAGAGCCCTGATGCTGCTCCCTGAGGTATGAACTGGCCTTTCTTGAATCTGAGATGTCCTGGTGCTGTTCTCTGCAGATGTCAGGTTGCCTTTGCACAGGCCAGATAGATAAAGGAGAATGTGCAGGTGTCAAGCTGATCTCTGTAGTAATCCTGCTATTAATATGCCCAGCACGTACCAACACTCTCTGCCTCAGCTGGATTCTACTCGAACTGAACCACTATTCCTATTCTGCTTTACTTCACTCTACTTTAGCTCAGTCGCTGGATCTTCTTATGCCATGTTAAGCTTCAGATGGAGGATTGCCTACAAAAAAATCTCTCAGTTCTGCTTTCCCTGCTCACATCAAGGTGTTTCCATCCTGTAGATTCCTCAGGACAAGCCTCCCGAGGAGTATCCCGAGGCCAGCTCCATGGCTGAGTACTTCCACGATGGTGCAAGCAGTGACCTGGCCTTGTTTCCCCCTCACGTTAGCGTCAGCCCCAGGGAGCACGATTTTGGTTGCTGTGTGCCGCTCCACAGAGCAGAGCCTCTTCCTCTCTGTGTGACCAACCATACCAAGGGAAAGATCACTGTTGCCTGGACTCCAAGCCRTGGCAGTGGCTTTCAAGTGACGCCTGAAGTCTGTGACATCCCGCCTTTGAAGTCTTCAGCCTTCCGGGTCCTTTTCCAGCCCACTCAACTAAACAGTCTGTATGCAGCGGAGTTGGAAGGCTTTGCCTTCTACAAGGTTAGTGGGAATTAGTACAACCAGTCCCCAGCAAAAGCCTAGCAAAACCCTATTTACCACCAAAATATTTTGGGGCATCTAAAATTAAAATATAACTTTRTATTTTGAAGTTGGCAAGCTTATATCTCTACTAACTCCTCTGGCCAGGGATTTGGTACAGTGGCAGGCTAAAATTTCTCCTCCATCATCTTTGTCCTGGCAAGGCGAAATCAGGAAAATAAGCCATAGACTGGCTGCTCTTGTATATGCACATGTACAGCTGCTCTTATGTTACAGTGAATGTGAAGTAACTTGCACTTCTCTGAATAAATGACTGTAAATTACTGCACCATATATGGGAAGCTGCATAAGGATGGTTGCTGAGGTCTAGGTGATGGGCAGTAACTTGCTTATGTCTCTATTCCCAACAAGTAAAGTTGAAGTGGATGCTGTACATCATTGCAGCCTCTCCTGAGCATGAGGTGGGAATCATACTACATGAGGTTCCACTGAAGGAGTTTCAACATCCTGAAACTTCCTGATAAGCAAGAGATATCTTGATTATATTGTTGATTAAATTGGAAATATTTTTCATCTAAGACAGTGTGAAGGTTTTCTGGGAGCAATCTTAGTCAGCAATTTTAGGCTCAAGTAAGAACCTATTTTTTTCAGTAATTTCATAATTATTTGCTTAGTTTAGGATCTGCAGGTATTTCAGACTGCATTAGTAGAGTGTCTTTAGAGCCTTCAACTCTAAAGCAACTACTGCAAAATCACTGAATAATTTGGGTTGAAAGGGACAGAGAGAGAGATCATCTAGTCCATCTTTCAGCTTTTAAGTCCCTCTGTTATCTTTCATGTCTCAGATATACCTGTTTGAGAAAATGGTTCCCTCATGTTGCTCTTTTTGCACTGATCAGTACTTCTTTCCAGAGAAAACCAATTCCCCAGCCCTAGGGCTGTCATTGAAACAAGCAGCAGCTTGTGACAGTACATGCACTTGGAGGTACATTGCCACACTCCTCCCATGAGTGTTCTGCTGTGTCCCTTGTGTGCCTGCAGGTGCTGAGACACTACAGGAACATYGATGAGGATGCTACCATCTGCCCGTCGTGGTGCCTGACTGTCAGGCTTAGGGCACACACGTATGAAGCAGAGCGGGAACACTTCATCCCACGGTACATACTTGATGTCCCCAAGGTGTGTGACTAGTGGTTTGGATCTTTGCAGAGATGCTTAGGTTTATCTTCCCAATTGAGAAATTTTTATGTTGTCTCCCATTGCACCATCCTGAGACACAGAGTCTTGGGAGTTTCCAGAGGCATGAAGACTTGTGCTTAGAATGGTTGTAGGTTCCCCTTGTCCTGCATTAGCTTCCCAGGCTCCAGTGTCCSAGGCTGCACTAATCTCTTTAGCTCTGAGAGAAAAGCTGCTTAGTCCTCTCTCAGATGCTTCAGGCACTCTGCGTGTACTTAGACAAGCAGAGGGCAGCARACAGCATCCAAGCTGTTCCCTGACTCTCCCAGCATTTTTTCTGTAGCATGAGAACTGTTCCTATGAGGTGAAGTTAGATGTAACCCAGGAAAGTAAGGAAAAGTCTCCAGAACCTCTCAGTTAAGGGCACACAACCTATATCTGGTATGCATAAACCAGAGCAAATTCCAGCTCACTTTGTCCTTAACCTGGGAGTTCACTATATGTGCAGAACCCATAGGTCCCAGTAAGCAGYTTGTCTGTGGCATCAAGAAAAATGATGTGTAATAGAAAGTAGTTTCATTAGTGCCATGAGCCTTTGACAGAGGAGAGCCTGAGAAGGGACAGGAACGTATTTTGTATACCCTTGGGTGATTTTCTTTCTCTTCTTGAAGAGAAACACTTATAGAGTTCTCTATGGTTATGAGACAGTGCTGTTAGGACTCAGAGTCAACCTAGCAAGTGATTTTTCTTTAAGCTTGATTTCAAAACTCAATGCAAGCACCATTCCCTTGCTTGTCTCCACCAGGCTTTTCCTCCTGTAGCTCCTAATGCTGACACCTACTGCAGCATGCTGCTCATGAACACGGGCACCTCAATGATAACCTTCTGTGTGGAYCAAACTGCCTGTCCCTCTGTTTTGGTCAAGCCTCACTCGGGACACATCATTCCAGGACATCACCAGATTTTCTTTCTCTCTACTCATCCASTTAACACAGACTTGCAGCAGCATGTCCTGCCCTTGCAACTGAATGCCTGTCCTGCATACACCCAGGTAAAGAGGGAAGTTGAAGCTAGTGAGAGGTGTTTACATGTATTTTTTTGTTCTTTTTTTTTTTTTAAGTTACTTTTATTGTAACCCCTATTATATTTACTAATGATTAGTTGGGGGTTTTGCCTTTAGAAATAGGAATGAAAGGATATTTTCATAATTTAAGGTGGGATCAGTATACATAATGGCACACTTTTAAACTGCAATACCATGATCATTGAAGTGCCAGAAGTCTTCTGGCCTTTGTACCCCTGGGTCTCTATCCCCTGGAAGTCACTATACTGTGAACTGCTCCTTGCCAGCCCAACCCATGGTCCTTTCACTCCTCCTTCAGCCTCAGTTTGTTCTTGCTTCCCTTTTGGAAGGATCAACATCTTTGTGACATCCCTCCAGAGGTCAATTGAGGATTCTAGCTAATGTCTATTACTTCTCCATGAATTCCACAGGAGATTGCCCTCCAAAGCYGTGCGGAGTCTCTTCACTTGCTCTTAGAAGGTGATGGAAATCTATACTTCAAGCCTACCTACCTAGGGACCTCCTCCACTCGAATGTATACCATAAAGAACTGCTCAAGGCTTCCCRTGGTGTTTACATGGAAGATCCATCAGTCTCACCGCAAGATCCTGTCTGTCACCCCTACCACGGGGCTCCTCCAGCCCTACGAAGCCATGGCAAGTTTGGGTTCTACCAAAATCATYGTAATTTTGATTAGTGATGCAACTGTGGAGTGTTTAAAGCAGAAATGTGAGGACCGCAGTCCAACCTTTAATGTCAAGGTTGCCGTCAGTGTCTTAGGCTGGGTCACTAGAGAGCATTTGCAAATGTCCTGGTGACCATACTTTGCCCAGACATGATCAGAGTCTCCTTGACTGCAAGACCATGGGTGTCTTAAACATGGATTAGATACCAGTTATGCTGGATGAGTCTGGTGATGACACAGTAACAACTGGATCGTGCAGCAGGAAATGCTGATAGAAAGCAGATAAGTGAGAGCACAAAAGAGTTTATGGCCACCTTCTGCTCTTTTGTCTACCCCTACTGCATTTCTTTAGTGCCTTTTGAGACCAGCACATCTCCAAGGCCTGGTTTTCAGTGTCTGAATATGTGTTCCCAGTATGAACCTCTGACACGGTAGAAACAGCGGAGGTCTGAAGAGGGAGAGTGTCTCCAGTGCAGGCCAGTGGTGATGGAGGAAGGGGCTGTGCGTTGAGTGCAACGGTTGTTGTATCTAGGCTTGACTCTGGAGCTCCTGTGAGCGTGCGCCTTCTCGCTTGTGGTTTCAGGCTCAAGCTTGGACTTTTGCTCCTGACAAGAAGACGAAGTATCTCCTGCGAGCGGTGGTGTTCGTGGGCAGGGAAAGCCCAGTCCCCATGTCTCCCCAGAGTGTCCATTACACCTTAAGGATTGTTGGAGAGGGAGCGCTGGGTGCTATCAGGGTAAGGATCTGGGATCCAGGGTAGGAGGGGATGGGGATCTTCAGTTACTTTGGGGGCTCTTTCTTTTCCTTAGAGACTTTTTTAACTTTTTCCCAGAGGTGGGAGAACTGACCCTTGTAGCCAAATGGCAACTGCATGTTGTAAATGTCCTGCCAGCTCAATTATAACCTGTGTGAACCCTTAAGGATCACTCTGAAATGCTCTTTTCCGGACTGAACTGGGCAAGCTCTTTGGCTTCTTGGGAATTACAGTTCTCTTCCATAGCTCAGTCTGCTCTCCTTCTCTCTTTATTTGTTCTGCAGTTGGTCCTATTTCTAAATGGAGCAGAATTGACTGTTAAATGACTACATGGCCAGCACACCTGCCTGTTCTGCTCTTAACTGCAGATCTGTGCAGCTGCCTTTATTTTTAAGCATGTTTCCTAAGGAACCTGAACTAAATAAAACAATACTTTGCAAGTTGTTGCTCAGTGTTAACCATGTTGGACAGATGGGTAGAATGATCTTAGAGGTATTAGTCACTATAAATTGCATGGAAGTGGGTGACTAGCTAGAAGGGAGAGGGACTCTTAGTACAGGCATGGAAGGACAGAAAGGYAGAGCTCAGACTTGTGCCAAGCACAGCTTTCCTGCTGGTATATGTACAACCAGAATGAGCCAAATGTTACCTAGCTGCCAACTCAAATAACAGCAGAAGGGCTTTGGAGGGAGGGRTCAAGTCCCTTGAGGTCTTGCCCAGCTCCCAGTGCACAATTTTCCAATGTTCCCCCGGGCATGTGAATCCCCTCACAAAGTAGGGAGCTTTTTGCACTGTCCTGTGTGTGCCAAGGGCACTGAGATAAGTGACCACTGCACTTGACTGCTGCTCTTGACAGTTACCAGCAACTTCTGCACATTGTTTTTATTATTATTATTATTATTATTATTATTGTAGGCACAAAACGAGTGCTTGGACCTTGGAAATGTTCTGGTTGGTGACCTGCAGAGCGGTGATGTTGTGCTGCTGAATGATGGGATCTGCTCTCTAAACTATGTACTCAGCGTGGAACAGCAGATCACAGGGCCTTGTGATCCTGAGGAAGTCTGCAAGGATCCACTCGGTACTTGGAGGAGATTCATGTGGAATGGGACTTTGGGACTCCTCTTGTTTGCAAAGTTGTTCTAGTATGAGCTTAAAAATTGGGCTGCTTGATGGCTAGTTTGTAACTGTTTTCATGTGCACCTTAAACTATCCATGTTTTATGTGATAGAAATATGCTTGAGAAGACACGAGACTAGTTCTGTGTGTGAATAACACAAGTAACTTATTTAGTACGGGGTAAAAATTAGAAATACTCCTTGTCATGTTAACTTGGCAAAGTCTTTCTATGAAAACATAAGTAGATGCCTGTTCCTATCACTTAATTAGTGAGTCAAAAATGTCTGTGAGWAGTCAAAGGGGATCATGCCACCAAGCACAGCCCGGATAAGAGGACAATTATAATTGAGTGCAATGTGGCTGCTTGTACTTCACAGAGGATGTGAAGGTGCTTTTGTGCAGAGGTGCACAGAAGTGCAGAGGACAGTTGCTCAAATAGTGCAGGCAGGACCTGCACACTCACCTGATGGTATGAGTGTGACTTGCACTGCCAGGTGTGTGCACTGAAGGAAGAAGTCTGACACTAGGAGCGTCTGATTCTTGCTTAGAGGATTGCTACAGGTGACTGACTCTTCTGTCATGCTGTTAAAAGYGTCATCCAGAGCTTGGTGATTGAAACTGGACCATTTTGAACCTTGAAATAAGATATAAGAAGGGAGTTGAGGCTTCCCAGAAGAATTGGTGGAGTCCATCCCTCTGTGATCCTAGTCTTTGCCTGCCGAACGCAGCCTTGGATACTCCTGGAATGAGGCCTGTGCTTCTAGTCTGGGTGTCTGAACTCCAGAAATTAGTCCTAAGGATGAAGTATTGTAGGGTGGGTGGAGGAAGCAGTGACTGAATTGCAGGTAGTGTATGGAGATCTATGTGCTGGATGCATGTGTGGTGTAAGAGATCAGTGGTGCCAAGAGCTTATTCTACCTCCTTTCTTCTGCAGCCTTAGAGCTGGATCACTCCAGAGGGACTATCCCTGCAAGGTCGAAAGCTTTTGTCCGAGTAACGGTGAAGCCAGCCCGCCAGCTGCATTACACCTGGTCAATCAAATATGCCATTTGTACCCCCACAGGTGAGGGACAGGTATTTTGGGGAAAGGGGGGAAAATAGTCTCCCAGTCAAGTAGACTGTGTCATAACAAGCTGAGTTGTCCAATTCCAAATGTTATGAGTCCTGCTTGTAGAAATCTGCCTTCTGAGTAATTCACCAGAACTGGTCCTGCCTGCTGTCTCTTTTCCTGTGCTGTTTTTGTTAGATGTGACTGAGCCATGAGACACAATTCCCTACKGTTCTAGTCACAAGATTCCCCACTCCTTTTCATGATCATGGTCTCTGATGTACTTCAGAATGTATTTGAGAGCTTCAGGCAACCCATTCTCTGTGGTCTCCTTACTGGAGATCTTGAGCAGTACCTCTATGAAAAAGGATACAGTAGAAATATAAAAGACACAGAAAGGGGCAGCAGGGATATTCAGAGGTAGAGAACATTGTTTGTATGGGAAGAGATGAGCTGCACAATGATTTTACAGCTTGGACAACAGAGAAGGGCAACAACACATGAATAACATGGAGAAGATGGCATATAAACAGTTATTCAGTGCTTTTTTGGTGTGAAAACAAGGAGGGCTTCATAAAACAGTTAGGCTGTAGGATTCAACGAAGGAGATTCTTTTTCCACATAGTGCAGAACTAAGCTGTGGAAATATGCTGTTCAAAAGGACTATGTTCATAGTCCTCCGGTGATCTTTAAATTAGCAGTCATGGTAAAACTATAAAGCAGTGAAAGTTCATTCTTTCTGTGGCCCAGGTAGAGCTGCTCTACAGTTTGCTGTTCYAGGCAGCTGCCCCTTATTGTTGACTACTTTCTGTTGTTTCCCTCTCTAGTTCCAGATTTTGGGAGCACCAAAGAGGAACAGCAGCCCCTCTGCAGCATAGTAGCAAGAGGCGTATACCCAACTTTCTGCATCACAGATGCCTGTTCAGCAGGGAGTGCCAGTGGTATCAGCAAGCTGCAGCTCTGGAGACTCTTTTCCTTGGACACACTGAATGAATACTTGGAGCGAGACCCAACTCCCAGTGAGCTCACCTACAGAGTTCCCACAAGGCACAGGTGAGAAGAGGAGAGGGCTCACACTTAGCCTCGACACAAGCACAAGCCAGAGTTGCTGTGCTTATTGGCTTGTTTTGGAGCTCATTGCTGCCTGTCACTCTTACAACATTCTATCACAATGTGGGTAGCTGCTTGCTCCTGTGTCTCTGCTTATCCTTCCTAGAGAGAAGCCACAGAATAATTTAATTGCGAGAGACCTCTGGAAGTCTCTGGTCCAATCCTTTGTTTAAAGCGTGGCCAACTAGATCAGGTTGCTCAGTGCCTTGTCCAGTTCAATGTTGAGTATCTCCAAGGATGCAGAAATTGCAACCTGCCTGCACAGTTTTCCAGTAACGGACCACCTTCACTGTGATTTTTTTTCCCCCTCAATGATATCTAAGATATCTGTCATATTGTGACTTGTTCTTTTGTTACCCATTCTGTTGCTGTGTGCCTCTGGAGCCAGATGGAGTCTGGCTCCCTCTTCTCTATACCCTTCTATCATGYAATTGTAGACAGCAGTAAGATATGATCTGAGCCCCCTGTCTTCTTTAGACAGAAAAAAATAATTCTCTCAATCTCTCCTTGTGGAGTGCTCCAACCCTTGRCCTTCTTGGTAGCACTTCACTGGACTTCTTCCAGTATGCTAATGTCTGTCTTTTATTGGGGAACCGAAAACTGGTCTAAACAGGACTCTGAACTTCTGAGTAGGCCACTCATTCCAATTAGTCTTATATAAAAGATAGACTGGAGAGGACCCAAAAGTCTCACTTGCATCCAGTGTCCTTTGTCTAACAAGACCCAAGAGCATAAAGTTAGAGACTTGTAAGGAAGCAAGCCAATGTAGAATGACCCTTTCCCTGGTCATGCCATGTCAGCTCTTCTTCCATGCTCAATTTAATTTCTTCTTTTTCTCCAATAACCAGCACATGCTCGATTCCTCCAGTGTACACCCCTGTCCTGCTGGATTTCAACTTTGGAGCTGCCTCAATAGATTCGGAGCCTACCCTTGTGATGCTCCTGCTGGCGAACAAGGGTGTGGTGCCCGTTGAGTGGTAAGCAGTGATTGCTAGAGCCCAGCCTTTCCTCTGGGGTCTGTCTGGGTATACAGAAATACTCAAAAGACCATGGGACACCTACACATTAGTGGAATGGATTTCATAGGTGTGGATTGTATTGTTGGGCTGCGATTGATCTGTTGTTGAGTTTGGGTGGGGAAGCAAGCAAGAGAAGGCAGAAAGTTGTACGAGTCAGACCTAACATGCCTTTGGCAGGAAGTTGGAAATGAAATGTCGTGTGTCCTCCTGTTGTACTAAGCCTGGCTGGACTGAAGTTTTCTGTCTCTGTTGCTCACCGTCTGTCTGGATCCCTAGGGCCTTCCTTTTCCCTTCTGATCAGAAGATGGATATGGAGCACTGGGCAGAGGATGCTGAGTTTAGCACCCGTGAGCTGCACCAGATGAGAATTCAGGATAACCAGCTCTTCAGCATTTCCCCCAAGTCAGGAAGACTTCTTCCAGGACAGGAGGAATCAGTCCAGCTCTCACACAGGTGACTGTAACTACTTGCTCTCCAGAGCCTCATGCTTTGTGCCAAGACAGCAAGTGCCAGTTGAGCCTCCTGGGTTTACAGAGCTGATCCTTTCCTTGCCCATGACACTTACCCATCAGAGACTGGGCAAGTAACAAGTATGAAAGAGATGAGCAAGAAAATGTACTTCTTGTGGCTTTGACCATATGGACATAGTTATTTTTGTCATCAGCTAGAGCTCCTAGCTCTTGAGCGTCTGTGGGTTGTATGAAGGAATCTAAGCAACCTGACTTCCACAGCAGTCCTGACCTGAGGAGTGATGGTATTTCAGATGATTTTAGTCTATAAACTTGGATCTAAATAATTGTGTGACCAAAATCAACATTGCATCACTCATTCCCACCCAAACACAACTATCCCACTCTCTGTCTCAGTGGCCCTTACGCAACAGTGACTCTTTAGCAGGGAAATGAATTGTCTCTAATGGAATGTGTGACCCTGATTCTATAACCCGGGGCACAAGATTGGGTTTTAATGTTTTTTCTGTCTCTCATCTTGCTCTGCTAGACACGATTTCATCGGCACTGATCACCTGCCTGTTCTACTGAAGGTTTCTCATGGTCGTGAGATTCTGGTAAGGTAGCATGTATGTCTTGCTTGGTTACAGAGCAGCAGCAGGTAGGAGCTAAATTACAGCTAAGGGTTTTCCCTAGAAGCTGCATGGCATACAGGAAGCCGTGGCCTTCCCCGGGGGTCCTCATTGACCAGATGGTAACAGGGGGCCAAACAGAGATTTAAAATCAGCATTCTGACAAACTAGTGGCTCTGGTAAAGAGTGCTATGACAGCGCACTGGCAAAATGCCGTCTTGGATGTAGTATCCACTATTTTCTTCAGTTTTTGATTCTTAACCTATTTATCTTATTGATGTTTTTAGTGCAGGTTTTCTTCCTCCTCTGGAATAACTCCAAAACAGCTCTCCCAGGTTTTACATTCTCAGCATGCTTTCTGAACCTCAATATATRTAATGGGCAGAATTTCTTTGCTTGCTTGCCCTCCTTCCTTCTGCCTCAGGGTGAGTTCTTCCATACAGTGATCCTGGAGTTGAGCTCTRCAGCCCATCCTACATCTCTTTCCCAGTTTTCCTGAATCTCTCCATCTCATCACCACTCCCCTTTCTTCAGAAACCCCTGGAATATACTTTTCTCCAAATATATCAGCTGCATTGGTTGCAGTTCTGGGACACATTTTGGCACAAGGCTGGCAGAACATCCTCTCTGGATGTATGGAGAGAGCTGCTTTGCCAAGCCCAGAAGGTAGTGCCCGCTTTCCTGGTTGGCTGTTCCCAGGCAGCCCTGATGCCTTTGTCCACCCATTTCCTTCACCTTGCCAGTCGTTGAGGTRTTTCCTACTCACTCTTCCTGCTTTTCTGTTTACTAACAGCATCCCAGAGCTGATCCTGCTCTGTTTTTTTCCCCTGAGTATTTCCTCAGGATTGAAACTCATTTCTCTCTCACCCCTTCTCTCTAACTGTCAGTTAGAGTCAAAGTCACCTTGTGCTCTGCTGGGCACAGCTCATGCCCGGCTGAGCCTTCCTGTCTGTCTCTAAAGTTTCCTATGAAACCATTGTGTTCACACATCTCTTTTATTTTTCTTTTCTTTCAGAACAGTTGTCAGCTGAAAATCCATCCCGTTGACCAAGCTGTTCAAACAGTGGCTTAACTGTGCCTTCCCTCAAAGCCCTTGGATGGGCTCCCTGTGCTCTGCCTGCCTGGCACAATCCTGAGAGTGGCTGCAAGCATTTTGCCAGCTGGCCAGTGAGAGATTAGGCTTTGGAGCACTAAAAGCCAGTAGGGCACATGTCCTCCCATGCCAGTAACTGATGGCTTTGGTGCCTATCAGAGGCAGGCAGCCAYCCTACCCCACACAATTGCTGTAAAATGTTCTAAAAGGGGGTGGGAAGACCTGAAGATGCCAAAGGACASCTGGCTGCACTGGAGCTCTGGCAAKAAGAGCTACAGAGGCCAATCCAGAGACCTGGAGCAATGCAGGTGGTGGTGRCATGCTGGGGTTACCATTTGAAAGGAGGAGTGTAAATGGCTCCCATTGTGCAGAAGGGGCACACAAGGGTGGCACGCARTGTGCCTTCATCCCTTTCAGTCATGGTATGAAGAATGGAGCTGTCAGATTGTTCTAAGTGCAGGCTTAGACTCGCAGGCTAGGGCTGAGCAGACCACCCCCTTAGAATTCACTGAAGTTTGCCGAATACCTGCTAGCCTTAAGAAAAGAAAATGCTGCAATACCACACCAAAAGTTAAGCTTTGGAAACCTGGGGCAGCGTCAGTAAGGGAATTTGCTTGTGTCCAGTTCAAGATTGCAAAGCAGGTTGCCTGCCTTTTGCTGGTGATGTTAGCCAGCTACAGGCCAGTCCATGGATTTTCTGAGGTGCATCACAGCTCTGTGATGGATTTACCTGTGTGGACAAGTTCTGATCTCTCATTTCTCTGTGTTCCCCACACTGCCCAGTATGACTGATTCATCCTCAGGAAGAAATTCCTTCTGTCCTTAATCTTCTGCTCAGTGACSAAATTTCAGCACTGAGATAAGTAGATTTGGATGCTCTGAAGAAAACAAACCTGATTTCCTGATGGAAGTTTCTTCAGACTGCAGGAGTGAATTTCTGTGCAGCTTGTGTGTTGCCCACTTGCTTGTCCAGGAGGGAAACAGGGCCTCTTGCTGTCTAARGCTTTCACTGATTGCTCTTTGTCTCGTCACCACGGCCGTTCTCCAGCAGTGCAGCTGTGACCTTGTTCTCAGAGCCTGGGGATAGTTTTGCTGGGCAGAATCTGTGGCCCTCAGCAATTTCAATTGGAAAAGTCCAGCAGGTTGCAGGTGTTGGGCTGTGAGGTGGCTGCAGGCCGCTTCCCAGAACTTGCTGGAGGAAACGGCTGAATCCTAGGGAGAATTCCTTAGCACATAAGTTCCATAAACTGCCTGTGCTTTCATCTCGCTTCATAGCAGCTAATTAGGTATTGTAAGATGTTGTCACACAGAGCATGTGTTTTCCAGTCAGCTTTGCTCCCCAGGGACTCTGACATCCCCATCCTCTCACGCTCTAGGTCATTGCTATGGGATGAGGTCTGTGCATCCTGGAAGGAGAATGGATTGCAGCAGGTCTTCATGTTTCTGCAGTTGTCTCACTTGAACAAATAACCCTTTAATCAGAGCATCCTGTGTCTAAGAAAGCTGGTGAGAGTCTTTCCTTAGCAGTTGTGGTCCAGTGGAATCGCAAGTCTGTAAGCTCAGTTCTTTGACTCCAGTAATATGTACAGGTGTCTCGCTCCCAAAGCTCAAGAAGGATCCTGTCCCGTGTCCCTTGCTTTTTGAAACTGTCAGCTCCTGTTCTTCTCTCTGCATTGTGTCTGTGTTGAGGCCCTCAGGAAGCTGACCTCTCATGTAGCTAAAAAAAATGAAATGATGATATTGTGTATGTGACTTTGTTATCACTGTTCTCGCTCCTCCTTACTTTTCCTGTGAAGCTGAATTTGAACGGGATTGCCTTGGAGRAGTCAGCATCCTCTGCTGATCTGTGGTTTAGCAGCTGACACAGTATCTCCTGCAGTTTTCTGCCCAACCTATTATCCCAAGCATCTTCTCATTCCACTTTTGCACTTGAAAAATGTGGCCATGCTTTAGACTTAACTGTATAACCGTGAATCACTGACTGTGACTCAGCTCCCCATGGCTCATGCAAAAACATTATTGGCTTTGAGATTACTTTGTAAACTATGCCTCCAGGGAGCAGACGCTTCAGGGGTCTTTTGGGGTGTTCTTGCAGGAAATTACACATCAATTATGATCATCTACTCATCTCTAGCTTGGTTCCAGTTACCTCCAAATGTAGATTTCTGTATCTGTCTTCTCCTTTCTTTCTTTTTTTTTTTTTTTTCTCTCTCTTTTTTTTCCTCCCAGGAAATACCACTATAAATCCCTTTGCTTTGCTTGAAGTGCCTGGCTGCTGAGCTGTTAATCATTATCTGATCATTTAAATTCAGCTGGAATCTTCTTGTAGCTTTGGGGATTTTTTTTAGATGCCTTCTTGGAGCAGAATCTCCTCCATAGTAAGGAGATCCAGATGATCTCTTCTAAAAAGAGGCCATAACTTACCTAAAATCCTGAATTTCCAAGGTTTTGGCTGTCACAGCTGTATACCCTACCCTTTGCAGTGCAGAAACCACCTTTCATGGGGAATTTCTATCATATGCTTGCAAAGGGAAGCACGTTACCCTGAGACTGGTACCTGCCTTAGGGGAAAGAAGCCATCTCCCTGATACAAGACAGAAAACTTCTGAACGAGAGCTAACGGTTGAGTAAGCTCTCTATCTCCATGCTCATGTCTCGCCACATGCTCCCCTAGTGTAACAAATTCAAATCTGTTACTGCACCTATCTGCACACAGATACCTCACAAAATTCTTCAGATTCCTTGTGTATTTGGAAGCAACAGGGGCAAGGCTATGRAAAAGTAACAGTTTCTTTCTTCTGCAGCTCAACTTCTGCGGTGTGACAGTGGAACCAGGGCAGCACTATGTTCAATTTACATCCACTAAGCACCTCTTCACACCCRTTGCTATTGGGAGCCCTCACCCCCCTACACAGGTGAGCAGTGTGGGCCCCAAAACTGCAGACAGCAGAGGGAATCCAAGAAGCAGAATGGTCTCCCATAAGAGAAGTTATGGGAATTCCATTGCAGCAGAACCTTGAGATTAATACTGGGATGGTAATAGGGAAAGTTGCTCTTATGATCTCCAGTTGTACAATATTTGGCATTCAGTCTAGCCAGAATAAGGATTCTGGTTTGAGGAAAGGCTGTTCCCCTTTTCTCTTACATTGGATCTCAGTGAAGTCTTGTCTAGCTGCTTCAGGCACCGTGGAAATAAATCTTAATTAGTAAATTAATTAAACTTCCTTAAACACTTATTCAGCAAAAAAAAAAAGTGGCTTTGATTTTGTTCAGCCTAATTTAGCTAAGAAATGAGCAAGTCTGAATTGAATTAAGAGCACTTTAAATAACAGTGCTTTTGCATTTTAAGTAATCCACTTTACAGTGATCCCGTTAGCTAATTTGTATTAATTTTCCCCAAGACTGAATTTACCAAGTACTACTTGGAGAGGCACTGTAGTCATCGATGTACTGAAGGTTTATCAGCACACGTACAATCTCCTATCAGAGTCTCAGTGATAAATCCCGACTTTATGAGGTGTCCTCATTCYTAGCAGACAAGCTGACTAATTAATTRAGCATTAATGCTTATCAGAGTCCTYTGGGAAGTGTTGACTTGTTTAACTTCTGCACAGTATAAGAAGCACCRCTGTCTGACTTGATTCCAGATTTATGAGCTGTACAATGGTGGCTCTCTGCCTGTGATGTTTGAGGTCCAGCTGGACAACATTGAGAGGATTCAGGAGGAGAATTTTCAGCATCCTGTGTTTGTCTGCCTGACTCCCAGAGGAGAGATCCCCCCTGGCACAACAGATCACATTGAGTGGATCTTCTCGCCCCTGGAAGCTAGAATGTACTCGGTAACATTTTTTTCTCTTCATGATTTCTGAGACTCTGAGGGGATTAGGAGTGTGTGAATTGTCTTGTGAGACAGGGTCCAGTTTCAGTCAATTAGTCCTTTAGCAAATAAATGTACCTAATATGACTCTGGATTTAATCCTCTTATCTTGTCCAAGGCAGGTTGATGTTCCCATCCATATCCTTGGGGGCGATTCAGCTTTGATCACCTTCCAAGGAGTAGGCTACGACCCAAATATCATGGGAGAGACTGCCCCATTCAACAGAGTTTCATCTCCTTCAGTAGTTCCAGGTTCTAACAAACTAACTGTTCCTGGGCAGGTAAGTCCAAGTATAGTGATATGGGCAATATGATCAGTCCAGGAATGCATGAAAAGGACTATGTAGGCACCTTCTAACAGTAGCCTGTATTGCAGGCGAGTTTTCTTATGAGATAGGGTAACATTCAGCACATAAGCAATAGCCCAACGCATAAAAGCAGTTGACCTGAAAAATGCTTTTCTCCCAGCCGACTGCTTTCACTGCCATTACAACCAAAGCTTTTAGGTTTGTTCACTTCTGAATTTCCTCTTAAAAGCTMTTTCTGTCACAGCTACTGTACTGATTTTCGGCTAAAATACCTTTTTCTTGGTACTTAATTTACCAAAAAAAAAAAAGAAAGAAAAAAGAAAATTATACAGACAGAGCCTGGATGCCTCCCTTTCACAGCCAAACCCAGGCAATGCGTAACCTGAACACAGACTGCAGGGCAGTCACCAGCTCGGGCATATTCAGAGGAATGCCCTTGTCTGACTCGTCACTAGATCAGCAGAAGTTTGTTTGGCCTGGCTAGAACTGCCAGTCTGGATGATCTGTTATTAAACTGAAGTCAGAGATCCCAGTATAGCAAACTAGCATTGAACAGCACGAGTGAAGGGATATTCCAGGCAGGTAAGGGATCCATCCTGAGTGATATTAGCCCCGAAGCCCAGCAACAGCTGCATATGCTCTTTGGCTTTCAGCAGGGCAGATTGCATTCCTGGGAAAAGCAAATAGAAGATGATTAAAATTCTGTCTCCGATTGCCAAGGAAGATGCCATTCCTTGAGGCTCTGATGTCTGTAACCAAGAGTTGTTAGCTCCTCTAATGGTCACCGTAATTAAATAGTTTGTGCTATGCCTGGAGAATGGGACAGGCTGCATACCAGCAGCAAGGTGATTTAGGCAGCAATTTCCCAGAGCTCACGCTCAATTTGATGGAGATTTTGCTTAAGCACAGAGCTGGCACCTTTGCTCACTGAAGTGAAGAACAGACCTGAATAGCAAGTGCTGCAAAGAGAAGCTGGGTCCTACTGTGTGCTCCTGAGATCCCCTCCAGCCCCACTATCTGCATAATGTTCTCTTCACTGTACTCTCAAGCCCACTGCAGTCCAGCTGTGTAAAAAGACATTTTAGCCAGAGCAGGAGGGAAAGTAGTAAAACAGCCCATCAAATYGTTACAGTAAAAGCAAGGGGTGAGTGAAATATTGTCCATGAAATGCTGTGAATCCTGAAGATGGATGCATGACTGCCATTCTCTGAGGACCAGATCCCATCTTTCATTACTGCTCTAAGATCTRCTTTCCACTTTTTTCCTGCAGGTAGCCACCTTATCACATCACAGGATTTGCCTCGGAAACATCCCAGACTGCGTCAGAGTGAGTCGACTCGTCTTCCTGAACAACACATCCGAGAGCAAGGCTGTTGTGTTTGCCTGGCGTGTAGGCGCTCCCAAGGACAACGGGGTGAGTTCTGAGTTCCCTCTCAGAAAACAGTCCTAGGGAACTGGCTTTTGTACCAGCAGATTAAAGGAAAGGGCTGAGAAAAATGAAGGTAAGGTTTTGGATGGGATAAAAGGATGCAAAAAAGGACTTCAGTGAGGTTACATAAACCTGGAACTAGAGCATGCACTAATGAACCTCATGATCTCATTTACTAGTGAAGCTCATAGTTGTTCTTCAGACAAGGGAGCTAGCTCACGCCACATACCTCTGCAAGGGGCTGGAGCTGGGAATTCCCATAAGACTGTGTGTTCCGCCGGAAGGTGGAGACATACAGCAAGGGCATGAGACAGTAAAAGATCTTCCATGACTTTTTATCCCAGATGTTGCAGGTTGTTCCAGACTTGGGTGTTGTGCAGCCTGGAGAGAGCACGCCCTGCTTCGTCGTGCTGCAAGCATCAGGAAGTGCTTCCTTCTACAGCATAGATCTGGTGTGTGAGGTGAGACCCAGGAGGTACTTGTGTTTTATCATCACTTGGGCATGTCACAGAGCTTTCCAAATGCTTGGCCCCACCATTTACCTTCCAGCTGCAGGAATCCTTCTTAGCTCTGTAGTAATGTCCAGCACTTTTCAGTGGTAATGAGCTTTATCTCTGCTGATGCCTGAAATCTCTCTGTGACTTAAGAGATGAGATGTGTTCGTGCAACGTGGGACTTTCTGAGTTTAACATGGGTTTTTAGAAGCCAGGATTCAAACAGGAGTACCTTTCAGTGGAAATTAGATACTTAAATATCCATAAAAAAACAAGTCTTGCTGCTTTAATTCTAGTGACAGCACAGACTTGTGCTATTGTTCCTCTGGCCTGCACTTTCCATGTGTTCTCTGATAGGAGATTGAGTCTTCTGTATATTATAACCTGTTTTCTCTTTCTGCAACTGGGAGGCTTGGAAAGGGCTCTAGTTGGGATCTCCTGGGGTGGAGGAATGAGGAACAGGTATGGAGCTGGGCCAAGGGGACAGTGTGACATGCTGTGTGTTATTCGCTGCCCCTCTCTGGCCATGCTCCCTGCAACTGAAGCTTTTCCTCACAGGTGTACATTCAGGAGTCCCTGGTTCAGTATGAGAGGGGTCTACAGGAATGGGAAAGGGAGAGGGAACGTCAGGCTGTGGAATTCACCATCACAGAGAAGGACCTGAGGGCTGAGAAGAAGCCAAAGTCACCTGCAAGAGTAAGTTTTACCAGAACTTTACACCAAGTTAGCTCAGTTCAGAAACAGCAGCCAGGTATCAACAAGAAACCTTCCTTAAGAAAATCCAAGTACATTAATAGGAGGACGTGAGGCGCTGATCTACTCAAGGTCTCACTACTGGCCTGTGTACAGTGGAAACAGAAAGTTTGGCTTCTAGCCACGCTCTTCGCACACAAGAGCAGTATCCTCTGCTCTCTGATTAATATCTAGCAAGAGGATAGCAGATGGGGAACTTGGAATGAAAATGATTTTTCTGGTCACCCTATAAACTTTGAATTTTCTAATGATCATGTGAATTTTGGAAGTGCATGAGAAACTTTATGAAAAGCATAGCCAGGGACTCTGGAAGCTGATGACTGGATTTTTAAGCGTGGGTAAACACTGGAGCTAAATGTGTAACTAGCATGAAGAATTTGGCATTGAGTAAAGAATAGGGAGATGAGATCACTGGTTCTCAGAAGATCCTGGAGTCTGGTTCTGCTTCTCCTCTTCCTTACATTGTGATTTCCCTTTATTTACATAGAGGTCATCAGATTCTGCTGAGAAGGAAAAACTTGCTGAGTCTTCAGCTGAGATCAGGAAGTACAAGGTAAGTCAGGCCTGCCTCGACCTCACTGGAATCAAGCTGGCTGTCCTAAGGAAGGAGGCAGATGCTGGATATTGTAGGACAGAGCTTATGGAGARCAAACTAACTCGAGATAGGGAAGTTGTTAGCTCAGGCCTGGCGCCGCTAGGACTGTAGCAGTGCTTCTGGGTCCCTGCAGAGTACCCGTGGATGTCCTGCTCTGTGATGCGTCAGCTCTGGGCAACTCTAGCTTGGACTGTCTGCACTGAGCTGTTGGGTATGATAGGGATTTTGGGAGTGTGTGAGACGTGGGTCAAGGTTGATGTGGATGTAAGAATGGCTGGGGAAAAATAGACAGCTCTATTTGCTGCTCTAGGTTTTTAGTTCCCAGTCACAACTTGAAGCCTGCTGTGTCAGAGATGTTGAATACCAGACTTGAGGGATGATTTAAGAATGCATCCTACATGTGTCATCTCTTACAGCTCTCTCAGTGGGCTCAGAAGAGCAGACGTGATCTTCTGAAGCCTTTCTGGAAAGGGACTGAAGCACAACAGCCCTGAGGCCCTGCTGATAATCAGGGCTTGTGCCACACTAGGCAATGGGAACGAAGCAGGCCTGATTCCCAGTGCAGCTGCTCGTGCCTAGCTGGAGTCTTGTAGCACTGTGATCATTTTGTCTTGTGCCTGTTTCCTGTCCAGGATCTGGTGGCTCTGACCACTCAGCATTCCAGTTTCCATGCTTGTACTCACATCTACACTAAGCTACTTTGACCAAAGGAGGAACTGAACATCTGCTATTTCCTTCTCTCCAATAGACATTACCCCCCATCGGAAACCACCCTGTGCCCAATCCGCCCGCCAGCCGCTCTCAGAGGAGGCAGTTACTGGACAAGGAAGCTGGCAGGCTGTGGGCCAAACCAGAGCCACCCAAGCCCATGCTCCTGCACCTTGGTGTGACAGCCAGGTCCCACTCCATCGAAGACTTCTTCAGCAATTTCGCCTCAGACTTCCCCAAGTACTTCCTGAACTGGTAAGACATTCAGCTCCTTGGCTTTGTATCTTCTTCAAGCTAGTGCTTGGCACATTAAGTGACATTCTTGTAGCTGTGCTCTGTTCCTCTCCAGTGTCTTGATATTAGGCATGAAGTGCCTTGCTTTCCCCAGCAGTGATTGACAGGACCTATTTCTGTCCTTCTCTCAGGAGAACAGTCCAATGTGCAAGGCCTTGATGGTTATGGGAAGCTGAAGTGTTAGCTGAAATCGTTGTTAGCAGTGCCACACACGGGGAAGGCAGGAGTATTTATCAACGTGCTCTTCTGGGAAACTTCTAAGCCTGGAAAAGCCTCTATGGGACGTTGCAGTCACTTGTTGATGTGAACCAAGAGCGAGTCTGTAGAGGGATGTGAGATGAAGTCTTGCCCTGGGGGAGGATCCAGTAAGAGCTTTGTAGATGAATGCTCACCCAGCTGCCTTGTTGGCCCTAGCTAGCCACAGCTCAGAATACTTTTTCTTCCCCTCTTGGGGACACAGGAGGGACGTGGGACGTGGGGGACTCACAAGGCTCTTCTGGGGCACAGGACTCAACTCTGAAATAAATGGAGTAGTTCTGCCACTCATGGAAGAACTCCTTGTTTCACAGCTCCTTCAAGGATCAGCGATCGGAAAACGAATCTGTGCATGGGAGTAGAGACAGAAAAGGGATGGCCATGAGCCCTGACTGGCTGTCCCTGGCTGCTGCTTCCAAACAGGAGATGCAGATAGTGACTGACCTCCTTACAGGTGTAATCAGGTGTGTGTCCTGTCACCCTGGCCCCTGTCAGAGCACTGGCAGCACAGCCAGCCTCTCTGCTAATCCCAAAGGAGTCTGTGCTACGCCGATACAGAGGATCCAGCCTGTAAAAGGCATGAATAGGAGCCTGCCTTGGGGGCTGGGAGCTGGGGAGTGCTGGTGTGACAGCCCAAGGCAGTGCCTTGCTGCCCAGCTAGGGACTGGGGCCGTCTCTGCATAGCAATCAGTTTTGCTCACAGAGGCAGGGTCTGTCCCTGCCATGGCTTGCCCTGCTCACAGCCAGCGAGGCACCTTGGGAACAGGCTGCACAGTGATTCATTCACCTCTTTCATCCATCAGCTACCAACATCTACAGCAGCAATGCTGAGGAGGCAAAGCCATGTTTCATGCTGTATTTCTACTCTAGACCTAGAAAGCAAGAAGGGCCAGACTGTTCATTGCAATCAATCAGCCAGGATTTTCCTCTGATTTGTACTGGCTTGCGGGACCAGATACTTGATCTACCGGGCCTCATTCCTTATCCTTTCTTTTTCCTAGAGGCCTTTTGGAGGACACCCAGTTCCACAATAGAGTGACAAGAAGTCTGGATGAGCCCATCCCGTATTTCTCCCAGTTGCGATGTCAAGAGTCAGCAGAGTCTGAGGACAGAGGACAGAGCTCCAGAGTCCCTTCCAGGGTCTCTCCTTCCCCAGATCTTTACCTTGAGGAAGAGGATGAAGGCATGAAAGAAAYGAGGCAGGAAACTTTCCCCAGCAATGATTCACCTGTATCTTGGGAAAGGATGAATGATCTCCCTCATCAGGAGCAGAAGATGATAAGAAGGTGAGGAAGAGCTCACACAAAGAAGTGCAGAGCTGCACAGACAGCACAGCCATGGCAGCACATRCCCTGCACAGAAGCTCACTTATGCCCTGGGGTGTTTTTGCTGCATTGCCCCTCATGCTGTGGGCAAATCGGTGCTACCCTGCCCGGCCAGTGCCTGCCAAGTGCGGTTAGCGAAGGGTGCAGGTGTGTGGTGCCCTGGGCCAGAGCTGGCACAGTGTAAGGACACTGGTGGTGACYGAAGCCTGCTTTGCCCTGCAGCTCCCCTGGCCACTAGACCTTAGAGCACAGTAGGGGCGTACTTGAGCTGTTGTTATTACTGCAGTGTAGCATCACTGCCCGTTTGCTGTGGCTATAGCCTGGCACTTGTGCACATACTCACRGCCTGTAGCAAAGTGTTTGCTGTGGCACAGCTAGGAGGGAGAAAAGGGTAAAACTGCAGCCACCCATCTCTGCCTGAGGTTAGGGTCTGACCCTGGCTGGTGGCAGTTCTGGGAGATGGCTCAACACCACAGCTCCCAAATCTTTGGTTCGTTGGAGGAAACAGTATGTGCTCCGCTGCTCGGTGTGACGCGTCCTGGGAGGAGTCCCAGCAAGCAGCCTTCCTTATCAGCTCTGATAACTGTCGTCTGTGCTCTCGTTCTTCCAGGCAGCCGGCCTTTGGGAACCTGGTGGAGCTGGTGCTGGAAAACACACTGCAGAACATCCTGATTGAAGCCAGCCGTGGGGACGTGGTGCTGACCGCCCGGCCCAGAGTCATTACTCTGCCCCCCAGCCCTTTCCAGAGGTATTGGAGTGCCTCTGTATAGTTGTAGGGGACAGGRCTTGTTCTTAATGAGTCAGACTGCCTTTTTATTAGACTGCATGGATTACCTTGGTTGCTATCTATCACGGACAAGGCTGGTTCTGTGAAAGGGGAATCCGTTCCCTCCAGTCCCTCTGCCCTTTTTTGCCTTTTTTCTGAGCCACAGACCAGAGGCAGTAACCCTGTTGCCTTCCTGTTGGCTAGGGAATAGTGTACAGCCCCTGGGCAGAGTGCTGTGAGCGAACAGCTAGCAGAGGCTGCTAGCACTGGAGATCTCAACCCAAGGAGGCTCTCTTCCATGCTGCAGGGGCCCTGGTAAGGAGTAGGAGCTCATGGAGCTCCAGGAGCTCATTCAGGGTGCAGGCAACATGGCCTGGGCAAAGCTTTCTTGATCCCACACCACTGAGTAGCCTCTGCTGTGGATTCAAGGAGTCAGAGGGAGGTCTTGCCCCTGGCTGCTKAAGAAATGCCAAACTGCAAACTGGGCTTCAGCCTCTGGCTGTGGCCAGTGGTGCTTTCCCATGTGTGTCTCAAGGGAGACCTTGCAGCCAGACATGGCTTGCTGGCCCAGGAGATCTGCCACTGGAAGCRTAAGAGTGATTTGGCTTCCGCATGGACCAAGCTCTCCCCATCAGTGCCCATTCTGCTTCCAGAATGGTGTGGCCAGAATATCCCAAGAGGTTAAAGGAAGGGCCATGTGTGGGGAGACAAATTAGGGGCTAAGGTTGCAGCATGATGGGGAGAAGTAGAGGGATACTGGATGGAACTGTCCTTTCCAGAGCTGCAGGAATCGTGTCTGGAAGGTGACTGTGATACCTTGGGAAGAGACRGTGTCCTGGGGAGAGGCAGCAGTCTGTACTCTCTCTCCTCCAAAGGTGATATCTTCTCTTTCAGAAATTCCAATGCAGCACGCCCACCTTCAAGAGCATAGATGTTACACTCTGTGCTGCTCGATTTCTGCAGCCATCAAAGGTCTCAACTCTTCATCCTGCCCCTGCGATATCCAGCCCAACTCTTATCCTCCTAGGCTGCTACCTGGCCTCAGCACCCTGGCTGCCTCCAAGGAATGCTTGGTCCTGGCTGTGCCCTCGGCTCCAGTTTGAATCCTCCTGCAACTCTGCAGCAGAGGTGGTGAAATCTCTTCCTCTGTGTCTGGCCACATCCTCGGAGAAGAACCTTTCTATGCTACAAGGAGCATATGGACAGCATCTATGCTTGTTCCCCTTGCCCATAGCTGGGAGAAACGTGGTGTCTGCTTTGAAATGAAGCTGAGGAGGAGCTCCTTGGCATTGTGGTGCTGAGCCACTGCTGAGCTCGGTGGGAAGCAGGTACTGAGTCCTCCTTCCCTCCTTGCTCCCGTGGCTGCCCTGTGGATCCCATGGACAGCAGCACAGCCCAGCAAGAGCTGCAGCTCTAGTCTGGCGCCCCTGGCAGCCCAATAAAAGGAGCTTGGTCTCTAGGCACAAGGACCTAATGCAGCCCGTGCCTCTTGGTTTGTCAGCACTGTGGATGAGGCACCTCTCATCTGTCCCCTTTTAAAGCTCTGTGGGTCTCACTTGGGGAGGTGGGACGCTTCAAACCGCCTGTGTAGCTCTGTCCTTGTCACYGGAGTGTCGCGGTGGGGAAGCGGGGCTTGTCATTGCCGGGAGGTGGCAGTGTTAGTTCTGAGAACCCCTCGGTGCCAGCCTGGAGCTGCACGAGAGCTGCCTACCCTGCTGCCAAGGGCCACCTGTGCAAAGGGCCACCTTTGGTGCACAGCTCCTCTTCTGCAGGCTCTGCCACGTGGGACTCACCCGGGAGGGTCTGTGCCCCGCACTCATGAGCGTCCCCCTCCAAACCTCCCTCCTCCAGGCAGCACGGGCATTGCGCCCTTCCCCTTGCTCCCCCAGGCCTGGGCACTGGGGAGGGTCTTGCCCTGCCTGGCCGAGGCAGCTGCCCCGTGTGCCCGCAGGTGCTGCAGCTCTGCCCGCGCCGCCCCCGCTCGCTCTGTGCAGGAGCACTGCGTGCCTGGCTGTCACTAAGCCCCAGGGCTGAGCTGTTCCTGTCGCCGCAGCAGAGCTCTGCTGCCTCTGGAGCTCAGCCTGGGCACCTGGGCTTCCACGTGGCTCCTGGATCCATCTTGCAGCGAGCGCAGCCCCTCTCCCCTTTCCCCATCATGCTGGGTTGCTGTTCTCCAGGGGCAGCTTATAGAGCTCCTCTAGGAGACAGATGCCACTGATGGTGGGGACGTTGGAGGAGTCAGCAGGGATGGAGAGCTTTGAGAGCTACCTCTAGCTCTGGGGGCTGCATCTTTCTTCCCTTGTCTCTGTGCAAAGCGTGGCTGCGTCATGTCTGGTCTTGGTCTTCTCCGGTTCCTGTCAAAGCAGCATGTACTAGGCAAAACCAGTAGGACAGTAGGAGCTGTCACATATTTTTTTTTTCTTTTTATCCTCATCCTACATTAAAAATAGGAACAGGACCTTTCTTTCCCCAGGCTGGGGGAAATCCTACTTCATCTTCTCAAGCTGGGAACAGACCTGTCCTTGGTTCTGGAATACACCTCTGTGCACAATGCTGTGTGCCGGGTGGAGGGCTGGGATCCTGTTTCCTCTGGGAAGCTGCTCCCTGCAGCCGGGGCCGGGGCTGCTCTGGCTGGCGGGGCTTGCGGCGGGGCCTGCACTGCCCCTGCTCTCACGTGGGCAGGCTCAGGGTCTCGAGGGCTCGGGGGAGTCAGCCCAGCGGTGACAAGGGGCCTGGTGAGCGAGTGAGCGTCCCTCCGTGTCCCACTTTGCAAAGGGAGGGGATGACAGCAGCACTCCCAGGTCCTGCTCCGGGTGGTGGAAAGGCCAGAGCAGCAAACTGACCTGCAGGAGCTCTACCCCGAGCTGCAAACCTCGCTGGTGCTTCTCTGCTGCTGCCCCAGCTGCTCCTCTCCACACTCGCAGCTCCTGGCCACAGCAGGACAAGGACAAGGATGGTTGGGCATGTGCAGCACTGCCACCAGAAATCTTGCCCTAGCAAGAGCCTTCTTTACCTTCCCCACAGCCCCTGATAAGCCTGACTGGCCCACGGAGCAGCCCTGCAGCAGAGCAAGATCCTCGGCCACCTCCCACGACGGGAGCAGCCCTGGCTCTCACTGCCCATGATCRGGTCTCAAGCCGGAGGAAGCTGCATCCATCCGTCAGCTTGAGTGCAGACCTGCGCCAGCACCGCACTGCTTTCTAATGTATGTTTCTCAGCGAGGTGCCATAGGTATGGGTCCATCTCCTTCTCAGTGATGTTTAGGTGACGGTCTCTTGGGCCTGGGATGCTGGTGCTGAGGGCAGGGTGACTAGGATTGTTGGCCTGCAGGTATAGGAGCAGAGTGGGAATGACTGAAGGGGAACCTGCCATGCACTGGAACTGCCCTCCTGCTCCGCTCATCAGCAGGCACAMAGCAGCACACAACGGGCCTTTTCATCTTGCCTGTTAGTCCTGCCTCCCAGGGAGGGGTGAAAAGGCCCAAGGGCAGGTGGGCAACAGCAGCTATCCTGAATCCCGTTAAAACATTTAACACCTGCTGAATCGTGCCATTGTTTGGGAGATAAAGGGAGGAGAACAAAGCTGTCTTCCTTGCCAGCCTAGCTGCAGGGCTGTGCTAGCCCCCAGCTGGGGCTGCTTGCAAAGAAACCCTGCCCGGGCCGTGGGACTCTCTGCCTGTTGGAAAGGCAGCAGGGATAGGGGATAGTCCCTTGGACCCCCTAGCCCCGGTCTGCACTGCCCTGCTCTGCCCTCGGCCTGAGGAGAGCCCCTGCCCTCAGCTGCCCGCAGTGCCTGCCCGGGAAAGGGAAAGGCCAGGGAGCAAAAGGTGGAGGAGTTCCCCGAGGTCCCTGTCGGAAGCAGGCAGAGACCCTTCATGTCCAGTCTCCCGCGGCTGAGACGCGGAGCTCTGCGGCTGTGTCGCTTCGGTGTTCGGGCTGCAGACCTTGCAGTGTGTGCTCAGGTCAGACCAGGACAGCGCGGGATTCTCCGGCCAGCCGCGCGGCGCTTGGACGAGGGCTGGATATTCCTTGCGGGACAGGACGGGGCGCGAGCCCTCGCATGCTGCAAGAGGAGGCAGAGCCTGGCCCAGGCAGTGCTAGAGGGCTCGGCCGGGAGGGAAGAGCTGCTCGGGTGAAATGCTGCCCTGCACAGGCACGGCCGGGCAGCCTGCGAGCGCCTGCAGGAGCGGCAGGAGAGGCCAGCGGCACATCCCGTGTCCCCAGCAGCAGCCCTGCTGTTTCCTCGCTGACAAACCCACTTGCAAAGAGGGTGAGGGCCATGAATGATGCATGGCGGGATGCAGGCGMGGGGCGTGCGGCAGCAGGCAGGCGCTCCGGGGGGATGGAGCCCGTCTTTCAAAATCCTGACCTGGAGAGGGCTGCCGCTTCACAGAGGAGCTGGTGACAGTGGCTGATAAGGATCTGTGGATATCCACTTACATTTGGGAATCCGTTTACCCCAACCCGCAGGCGCGCTCGGCCTCTGGCAGGGGTGACGACGGGCAGTGGTTTCTAACGCACGTCCCCAGGCCAGGAGCCCTGCAGGGGTTGAGGCAGCGTTGTCCCTTTCCCCGCCCGCAAACACACCCGTCTGCACAAACAAACACATCAGTGCACTCGCACAAAGGAGCTTCTCCTGCCACACAACTGCACTTCATGCTCCGTTCTCCAGGGAGCTGCGGGGGCCGGAGTAACCCGGAGAGACATCCCGGCTGGCGCTGGGAGGTCGGCGGGGCGCCGCAGGAGCGGGGACTGCGCCCCGGTGCTGCGTCCAGCTGCTCCTGGATGGATGTCCCTATGCTGGGCAGCCAGCATGTCCCTGGTGCTGGGCTGCTGTRGCTCTAGGATGAAGTGCCCCAGAGGAAGGCTTGTGTGTGCAGTGAAACACATCCTGTTCTCCCAGTGCATTGGGAAGATGGGATCCCAGCCAAGGTGACCATACTAGAAATGCTCCTGAACAGCCARCCAAGGCATTTCTGAGGAGCTTGGCTCCATTGCCCAGCCCAGGGGTCTGTGGGCTCCTCTTGATGAAGCCTGCATCACCCTGGTGTGCCCGGGGCTCTCCACCACAAGCAGCGGGACAAGGTGGCCCCAGCCACAGCTGGCACTCAGCGTCAGGCTGCTTGGGGACAGGCAGCGGAGAGGAGCCCGTTTGCTCTCCTGCTCTGGGCTCCAGCTGCTCCCTCACCTTCCAGCAGCCCCAAGCCCTGCCGAGGAGCAAGAGAGCGGCCCGGGGTGGCGGGTACCCCACGCCTGCCTCCTCCTCTGCGCCCGCTCTCCCCTCACCCCAGGCTGCAAAGTGAGCCAGGCAGGTGGGTGGAAAAGTGACAGCTGGTGTTGTTCCAGTGCAGGTTAATGAATGTCTCCTCCTCTGCCCCCAGCCGCCACCGCCTCCTCCCCACCGCCCGCCCCGGCACCCAGGCTCCTGGCTCCTATCAGCCCATCAGGCTCCCATTAACAGCGGCAGCCCTGGAGAGTTTGCATAGAGACCTGCTCTGCCTCTAATCTAGGTGGGCTAATCGCCTCCCCTGCCCGGGCTGCCTTCCCTGGGTCAATATTTGCGCTGGGCAAACACGGAGCCGTGACAGGTGCGCTGGGGAGAAGGCTCGTGGAGAGCCCAGCCCTCTCGCCTGTCTCCGCTCGCTCCCATCTCTCCGGCCCCCCGATCGCCGACCAGCCGGAGCTATTTTTATCAGGGCTATAAAAGCCCCATCCAGCCGGTGTCACCCTCATTTCCCGCTCGTGAGCCGGCGGGGGAAGGCGAAGCYGCTCACCTGCGAGCTGCCAACGTGTCACCGGAGCCAGGTGAGGCGCTGCAGCCGACGCACCCGCGCTGGGGTCCCGTGYGCCCGGCTGCGGGCAGGGCACAGGGCTCCCTGGGGACCAGGACACCCACCCAKCTCCCAGGAGGGACAGGCTCACGGGATGCTGTCCCCATCCTTTAACTCTTTTCTCTCACGTGCCTTGCTCTTCCTCTCCCCTGCATTTATTTGCTTCCTTTCTTCCTTTCTTCCTTCCTTCCCTCTCCCTTTCTCCACGCTCCCTCGCCAGCCTGCCGTGCCAGTTTAACCTGCCCCTGCTCTGTTTGGCTTTCCCAGGCAGCAGGTGTCAAGCATCCACCTTCCGGACTTTACCCCCGGAGGAGCCGGTTCGG